TCCTCGACACCACCAATACGAACTGCACGGCCAAATACTTGAGCCAGTTTCCTCAGTAAAACCTGGGTGTTACCATTCAAAGAGAGGTCCGCTGGGACGAGCATATTAACAATGTATGTAACCAAGCAAACAAGACCCTAGGGTTCTTAAGGCGAAATCTATCCATTCGTTCACCATACAAATACGTTACAGTAAATTAAAGTTATATTTAAACATTACTAAAAAAATTTTGCCCCCCCCCCTTAGAAAGTTTTCTGCGGCTGCCCATGTGTGTGTAGTCTGTATTTGCGAATGATTAACAAACAACGTGATAAAGCCTTAATTCTAATGAGGCTAATAAATCTTCAACTATTTTTTCGTTAAATAATTTTTTGGTTGAAATGTGTCTACTTCAAATCAATTAACAAAACACTGTCATCGATGACTTGAAGAGTTCCGTCCCGAAGTCTTACGCTTACACAAAAATTCATCGGGAAAATCCGTATTTTTTTTTAAATAATGAAGTCGATTCTTGCTTTAAATACGTATAGTTAATTGGTTTAACATATATTACTGTTCTATAAGGATTTAATCTTAAAAAATAATATCAGGCGATTCATTTACCTGAAATACGGCTGTTATTTTTTAAAGTTCATATTTTTATAATACAATTCCCTAAACCTTCTGTGGTCGGCAAACTGGGGTGAATTGCCCCAAGTATAGTAAAAATAGAAATCTTCGGAATAATGAGGGTTTAAAACATTAAATTAAATTTCAAGCATGTTTTGAATGAAATTATTTTTTTTAGGCAACACTGCGTCTGGCTTATGTAATAGCCGAACGCATCCAATAACCGGTGGCTACTTGTGGCTCAGCAGCTGTCATTCTGTCAGAAACGAACGTCTTTTTTCTTGATTACACCATTATGTCTAGTCGAATATTCAATCGTATGCTCAGTGGTGTCATTAAAATTGGCTCCACCCAGTGCGGTGAACTCGTGGTGTCATCCAAACTTCTCTATGGACCTTCTCTGAGGAAGCTTGCATTGGTGGTGCTCTGGTGACGGATGGCAATGGTCTCTTGTAAAACTTAGATGTTATAAAACGGACTTGATCGAGCTCTCTCCAAATGCATGCATTTTCATTGGTGTCATCCCCTGGTTGGCATACCCGTGTAAAAGGTTTCATAACCCTGTTAGGGTGTCTAGCCCTGTGAGAGGGTGTCTACCCCCTGTGAGAATGTCTACCTCCTGTGAGAGGGTGTCTACCCCCTTTGAGAGTGTCTACCCCCTGTGAGAGGGTGTCTACCACCTGTGAGAGTGTCTACCCCCTGTGAGGGTGTCTACCCCCCGTGAGAGTGCATGTCTACCCCCTGTGAGAGTGTCTACGACCTGTGAGAGTGTCTACCACCTGTTAGAGTGCATGTCTACCCCCTGTGACAGGGTGTCTACCCCCTGTGAGAGTGTCTACCCCCTTTGAGAGTGTCTACCCCCTGTGAGAGGGTGGCTACCCCCTTTGAGAGTGTCTACCCCCTGTGAGAGGGTGTCTACCACCTGTGAGAGTGTCTACCCCCTGTGAGGGTGTCTACCCTCTGTGAGAGTGCATGTCTACCCACTGTGAGAGTGTCTACCACCTGTAAGAGTGTCTACCACCTGTTAGAGGGCATGTCTACCCCCTGTGAGAGTGTCTACCCCTTGTGAGAGGGTGTCTACCCCCTGTGAGAGTGTCTACCCCCTGTGAGAGTGTGTCTACCCCCTTTGAGAGTGTCTATCCCCTGTGTGTGGGTGTCTACCACCTGTATGTCTACCCACTGTGAGAGTGTCTACCGCCTGTGTGAGTGTCTACCGCCTGTTAGTGGGCGTGTCTACCCCCTGTGAGAGTGTCTACCCCTTGTGAGAGGGTGTCTACCCCCTGTGAGAGTGTCTACCCCCTGTGAGAGTGTGTCTACCCCCTTTGAGAGTGTCTACCCCCTGTGAGTGGGTGTCTACCACCTGTGAGAGTGTCTACCCCCTGTGAGGGTGTCTACCCCCTGTGAGAGTGCATGTCTACAACCTGTGAGAGTGTCTACCACCTGTGAGAGTGTCTACCACCTGTTAGGGGGCGTGTCTACCCCCTGTGAGAGTGTCTACCCCCTGTGAGAGTGTCTACCCCCTGTGAGAGTGTCTACCCCCTGTGAGAGGATCTAGCTCTAATGAAAAGTCTCAGGTGTGGTGCGAACCCTCACACTCCTATTTACTTATTGCTTGTGGTCAGCACTTCAAGCGATGCAAAGGCTTTCAAAATTTCTCATGGAAAGGCAGTAACAAAGTTCCTGACTTTTTCAACAACCTTGCAAACAAGGATTTTCATGTCAATCAACTCAAAAACTAATTTATATGATTTAAAAGCCCACTTTTGTAGTCTTTGTATATAAAAATGAAACTTATAACAATTCTTCTTCTTCTATATATTAAGGGCCCAAGATCAATTTATTGATCATTTTGGCTCCTATACATGTAGATGGAATTTGCAATGTTTATGTGCCTGTTTTGATGAAACAGCTCTTCAAAAGAAGCGTGTTTTCTTTCAGCGATATTACTTGCTTTCTTCCTTATTTGAACACAATAATAAAATCATACTTAAGGTTTGGCCTGGATTTTTTTATGTACACTAATTGTTTGTGGCTCATTACTTTACAATAGAATGGCATTACTAGCAATGAAGAGATCACATGAATTACCTGACTATTGAATGAAGAGTTTAATCATTTAGTATGTTGTCAATTTTTTACGTTTTACAGTAATTACGTAGCTCAAACTTGCGTTTGAATACTGGTAAATATAATAAGCCTGTCACTGAATATTTGTTATTTCTTATCTTGAAATATAATTCACTGGTATTAAAACTATTGTGAAATAGTTATCGCAATGCATGACCCCTTCCTGTTATTTAAAAATCCTAGCATCCAACCGTGGCTGGATTTAGATTCGCTGGAAGCACCAAGTTATAAAATGCACAGTGACCCCTTACCAATTTAAATGACATCTTCTGGTCTAAGAAAAATGTTAAATATATAGCTGGCAGATTGTTAAAAACCAATCATTAGCTTCTTTAGTTTATAGAAAAATACGGCACTGCACACTAAAAGAATTATAAAAGAAAGACTTTGTTCAAGCTGTGTGAAGGAAATAAAAGAACAAAGTATGTGTAAGCTTGAGATAGAAAGACAGGACAATAAAAGTTTAATGTTTCGGCTAAGAGCCTTCCTCAGCAGATAGAACAAATGAAAAATATAACAAAAATAGAACGTATTTTAGAAATTTTAAAATGGAAATTATAGAGTTTCATTTAAAATCTTTATTTCAAACCAAATCTGCGATACATCAAAACATTCAGACCATAAACCAGACTAATTATTTTCTTTAATGGTATACATGACATCCTCATGTCGTTCAGCAATATCTCATAGCAAATAAGCAAATTTAATCAGGTAGGGTTTGTACCAGTATGTTGTTAGATACTTTAATTCCACAGTGTAACGTGACTCAGTACTTAGGAATTGCACTATCAGAGATCTTGTTTGCATTTCTATGCAATGTTCTATCAGAGCTCATGCTTATAAGCATATCCACTACAGTTGCCATCTGCAGTCCCCAGACTGTGTAGATGGTCAGTTGTACTGTCGTTTCTACCTAACATAAACACTGTTGCCCCACTGGTTCCGGGGCACGTACAGGTTGTGTACATGTATTTTGAACATATGTACGAGCTGATTACTATTGGGATGCTGTCAATTTCGTGCTGGTAGTCATAAGAATCATTAGACATCGCATCATCAACATTGAAAATGTCATCATCATTAAAACTTTCATCATCATGATACATGTAATCATCATTATAATTATCATCATCATTATACATGTCATCATCATCATCATACATGTAGGCATCATTATAATTTCCATCATCTTTATACATGTCATCCTCATCATGCAGGTAATCATTATAATTATCATCGTCTTTATACATGTCATCATCATCATCATACATGTAAGCATCATTATAATTTCCATCATCATTATACATGTCATCATCATCATACATGTAATTATCATTATAATTATAATTATCATCATCATTATACATATCATCCTGATTCGGGTCATCATTCTGATTCTTGTCATCATCAATATACATGCCTTCATCATTAAACAGGTCATAATTAACATTATACATGGCATCATTGTATATATCTTCATCAGTATACATAACATCATCATTATACTGGTCACATAATTCATCTTGATAATGATTATAAGAATAATTCTTATACTGGTCATAAAAATCATCCTGACATTTTTGATAATAATCATCCTGATTCTGTACATAGTAATCATCCTGATACTGTTCATAATAATAATCATGATATATTTCATAATAATCATCCTGGTATTGTTCATAATAATCATCCTCATTCTGTTCATAATAATCACCCTGATAATGTTCATAATAATCATCCTCATCCTGATACGGTTCATAATAATCATCCTGATACTGTTCATAATAATCATCCTGATACTGTTCATAACAATCACCTTGATACTGTTCATAATAATCATCCTGATACTGTTCATAATAATCATCCTGATACTGTTCATAATAATCATTCTGATACTGTTCATAATAATCATCCTGATACTGTTCATAATAATCACCTTGATACTGTTCATAATAATCATCCTGATACTGTTCATAATAATCATCCTGACACTGTTCATAACAATCATCCTGATACTGTTCATAATAATCATCCTGATACTGTTCATAATAATCATTCTGATACTGTTCATAATAATCATCCTGATACTGTTCATAATAATCATCCTGATACTGTTCATGATAATCATCCTGATACTGTTCATAATACATGTCATCATCAGTGATATTGTTAAAAGGATTTTGAAATAGATCATCAAAGTTATTTACTTCGTTGTTGTCATCATCCAATTCACCTAGCTCACCAAGAGTTCTAATATTTTCTTTTACAATGTCCGTTCTATGTGTCCACTGACCAATAGAAACTTGTTTCGGACACCCATGGGGGTGTGAGACTATAATGGCCAGTTTTTCTTCATCTTTGGTACTTTCATACCTCTTAAAGACTTTTTGGCTCAACTTTTTGTATTTTGCAACGATAACAGCTAAACTATCAGCAAAGTCAAGGTCATGGGTCACACAGAATAAATTACATACGTCACCTTCCATATCCCCCTGGGCTGATAGCCCACAGAATGATATTTCTTGGGAGGAGTCACTATCGTAGCCCCACAGAACAACCGTGTTTTTTGGCCTCTTTATCATCAAACACAACATGTGTTGCTGTGGCAACTCTAATTTGAGCCCATTCTTGAACAGCTGATGATTGTTTACAGTTTGAACGCGGACAAGGTTGACCGTCGGTCACTGTGTTTCTTTTCACTTGAACGACACGCCCTGTGCCAAATGACACAAACTCGTTTTGTCCCCGAAATTTGAAAAGTGGATACGGTTTCTCGTTGAAAGTTTCCGGTCTGTTGCTACTGACTTTGGTAACAGTTAGTCTAACTGTCAGGTCGCCTAGCGTCTTTACCAGTTCAAACATTGACTTCTTATGGTAGTGAGCTGGAAGATGCTGAGGCCCAAATAATGTGATCGGAATGAACTGTTCATGTTTGGGATTCTTGCGACAGTTGTCGTAATGTTCCTGTAGGTTAGCTTCTGGTCCGTACAAAACGTCTTCTTCATAGGGCACTGTCGAGAAAAGAAGAAATAACCTTAAAGTGGACTTGAGATTTAAAAGATAGGAGCCAAGTAGTTCTTATAAACAGACAAAATAAAGAAGAGTGTAGGAATTAGGAGATCCTGGAGAAAGGACGAAATAATCCAGCGAAATTGGTTAGAAACGTTTAAAATGAGCTACAATAAAATGATATAAATATGACGTAGTATTATCATTCGGTATAAAATATATTATCTGTTATAAGAACTGCTGGAAGAACCCTGAATTTATTAATGTTAAATATAAACATACTCACAGAAGTCGTCTATATTATGTAAGGCGTTATTGTTCTTTACTATTTCTTCATGGTTCCGTGAATCTCGTTTTCTTTCACCCGATATTTCCTTCAAATGACCTGTGCTTTTAAAGGTCTTTCTGATGACTTGTATTGTTTCAATTTGAATCATATCGCCTGTTTCTTTTGTGGCATCCATTCTAACTACACTGTCTTCTTCCTTAACTAAACTGTCTTCTTCCTCAACTGCACTGTCTTCTTCCTTAACTACACTGTCTTCTTCCTCAACTGCACTGTCTTCTTCCTTAACTACACTGTCTTCTTCCTCAACTGCACTGTCTTGTTCCTCAACTGCACTGTCTTCTTCCTCAACTGCACTGGCTTCCCTTATAATTACACAAGCTTCCCTTATAATTACACAAGCTTCCTCTCCTGCAACACTGGCTTCCCCTGCCACTATTATAGCTTTCCCTCCTACTACATTAGCTTCCCCTCGTAAAACACAGACTTCCCCTTCTACTACACTAGCTTCCCCTCCTACAAAAATGTCTTCCTTTCCAACTACACTAGCTTCCCCTCCTACATCACTGGGTACCATTCCTACAGAACTAGTTTCCTCTCCTACAACACTAGCTTTCCCCCCAAAACCACTGTCTTCCCATCCAAAAATACTACCTTCCCCTCCAACAATACTTGCTTCCCGTCCAACAATACTGGCTTCCCCTCCAACAATACTGGCTTCCCCTCCAACATTACTGGCTTCCCATCCAACAACACTGGCTTCCCATTCAACTATACTGGCTTCCCTTCCTTCAACACGAAGTCTTGCTTCCCGTCCAAAAACACTTGCATCCCCCCGTACTGCAGTGAGTTTCCTTCGGCCAAGAATGGTATCTGCTTCGAGGCTCCCATCTTGGATGGTTCTAAATTGAATGGTTCCAAATGTGATGGTCCAGACTTTTCCAAAATGGGCTTGGGAAAATGTGTCCATAATTTTCTTTTATTTATTTATTTATTTAGGCATTTTTATATAGCGCTTATCATAAAGCTCTAAGCGCTTTACAATTATTAAAACATGTGAACTAAGTAAAATAAAAATGAGACACTAGGATAGTAACTACTATTCTATAGAAACAATGAAAATGGCTATAAAACGAGGACACTTTGACACTTCAGGATCAACCCGAAACAGAAAATGAGGTAGGGCAAGGAGGGTGCATCACAGGTCATAGGCGGACCTAAACAGATGAGTTTTAAGGGACTTTTTGAAAATGGACGAGGTTTCACTATGACGTATATGGAAGGGGAGCTGGTTCCAGAACGTGGGCCCATGGAAGCAGAAGGAGCGTTCACCGATGGTCTTAGTTTTAGTTCTTGGGATTGAGAGGGTTCTACTGTCAATGGAAGAACGTAGTTGTCTTGTGGGGATGTAAGGAAGCAACAGTTCAGAGAGATAGACAGGAAAGTGAGGGTCAGTGAACGAGTTGAAGCAAAGATTGGCAGACTTGTATTTGATGCGAGAGGATATTGGAAGCCAGTGGAGTTGCCGCATGTGTGGTTGAATGTGGTCATGTTTCTTTAATTTAAAAATGAGTCTGCATGCTGAGTTCTGTGCCTTCTGAAGTTTGTCTATGTGGTGTTGAGGAATGCCTGAGAGAAGAATGTTACAGTAGTCAAATTTTAAGTTTACCAGCAATTTATAGATGACACCATGGACTTATATACTCTATGGAAGATAAATATGTATCAGGAAACCCGTTAAAAAGACGAAGTGTATACTTATCTCACTGAGTAGGTTTTACGTGTATCACACAGAGTACAAATTTTACATTTGTAGTGAGAGCTAATGACGTTCAAATATTTTTATACTAGCCAATAATCCGATGGAGATTAAAACGTATGGGAATATATTGTTATTTTATCAAGCTTGAAAGACATCATATGTGCTTTTATCATCAATGGAAAACATCATATGTGTTTTTACTGTAAAGAGGTATAACCGGGGTTTAACACGAGGTTGAAGGCCCACTAACTACTAACACCACAACCTCCCTCCCCCACCCCACTCCCTTACCTCAAACAACAACTTAATTTTTTTTTAAATTAGAATGTTTTTTTATATGTTTAACACTGAAACAATTAAAACATGGGAGAAAATCTGTAAAATGGTAGAGTTGATGCTGGTCCTTCTCAAACAAAGGTGAACAAGGATATATTCTAGGGTGAGTGGGCAGGTAGTTTTTGAGTCATGGCTGTGCCTTGGAAGATCGTCACCACGTGGGACATAAGTGTGTGGGGCGATATGGGTTTTGAAAGCAATACTTTGAGGTATATATAGCTTTTCTAGCCTCTTCCTTTATGGAGATGAGCAAAATGACTCTTAAATATAGTGCTGATCAGACGCTGGTATCTGCCGTGACATGTTCTTTAATTTGATTAAAGTGAGGAACAGCTGTGCACCTCGACCACATATCGCTTTCGTCTTTGTCCTTTTAAATCCCGTGTTTTTAAGTATTCTGTTTATAGCTAGCCTTAAAAATAAGTTAGAAGACTTAAAAGAAAAGTCATTGATGAAATTAAATTTTTGTACATCATTTTCTTGACTCTGACATTTTGATTACCGGTTATTTGTAATTTGTATAAATTTCTTTAAATGAAGTCGGTTGGGGTACATGTCAATGAGTCCTGGGTGCAACACAGTTGAATCAGTTCAGAGTGAAACCAATCAATCAATTTATAAAAAAAATTTTTTTTTTAAATTTTAAAAAAAGCAATGATTGATTTTAGCTAAACCTAATTTATATTTTTTTTTCAAGTTTGTTTTTTTAATAATGCAAATTTAATAATTTTGGTTAAAATCCCTACACTAAAAACAATACGTCAGACTATTCAAGACGCGATGAATAAAGCTTTATATGTTCATCGAGTGATTGATGCAAGGGAAAAAAAAAAAAGAGTCATTTTTGAGTTGTTTGACTTAAGATTGAAAAATATTATTTGACGTCACGCATCAATGGCGGATGAGGGTCATATTTTTGGGACGAGGGGTGCGGTCTACGCAATGTGACTCACATGAAATAGTGGCAAATTTTATTTTATTTTAAAATATCCCTGAATAACATTTAAAAATTTCAGATACTTATTTACATTATGCTTTCATACAACACTTATAATAATTAGTTGGTTTTTTTTTTTTATATTTTTTTTTATAAATCACGATCACTGAGAAAATAAGTACAGCTATGAGAGGTCCGAAAAAAGGGCTTTGATCAAGCTACAGGCCACCATGGAGTGGGGGGAATCGGGGTAGCGATGACTGTGGAGTTTATGTAGAAATGTGGAGACGACAGCCATTTAATGAGGGCTACCATGGGACGTGCGATGGAACGAAAAATGGTCGTGGGAGCAGGGGAGGTGATCTTAGAAAAAGTTCTAGAGCAAAGATTCTCTCCCCTTTTGCAGCGCTGCATCCACTCTCAATTTCCAAACATTCCCCACACTCTCCCTCCATGTAAATAATGTTTCAATGTTTATATAATGAACATAATTTAATTTTAAAATTTGTATTTCTTTAACTCACTTTCTACACACACACACAAATTTTGTTCAATGCACCAATATAATTAATGCACCAACAAAATTAACCACAAAAACATTTTCTGCTGCGAATCAACGTGCATTAATGCCATTAATACTGATTTTTATTTTTTTAAATTTTTTTTTAATGCATAAAGCTAGCAATGCATCAAATCAGGGGTTTTAAGCTCGCGGCCCGTGGGCCATTTGCAGCCCGAAAGACTATATTTTGCAGCCCGCTACATGACAGCAAAGTTTAGTGTTAATGCAGCCCGCTCGTTTTCCCCATTCTCTCATCTTTAATGTGACTAGTCTCTTTCCGATTTTTATAATATTTGTATATATTTGTATGTTGATTATGAGGGTAAGAAGCGTTTTAAAATTGGACTAAAAGTTTTTTCTTTTATAGCATTTTATGAGAAAAATATGGCACGAGTACGGTTTTGAGAAAGGTTTTAAAAAGTCAGTTAGTGGGTCATGCACAACCATAATTGTGTAAATCGTAGCAATCTGACACGGTATCAAAGGATCCATTTTAAAATTGCCGCTATTGTTTGTGAGTGAGGGAACTCCCGAGCCCCTCAGCTGGATCACTTTCAAAAAAAGTATTAATCAAAACGACAGGCTATTCTGCTTTAAACTTGTGTTATGGTTTTTAGAGAAACCTCTGCCATTTTCCCACATGCAAAATATTTATGGACTCATCATTCAGTAGTAACTTAGTAGTAAGTATACAGATGCTATTGCAAAGCTAAAGGGGAAATTTGATTACATTTTTTAGACTTCAAAACACACAGAGCCGCTTTGCAGATTTTTGCTGACCCTCTCTCCTTTAATTTGGAAGATACCCCACCCCTTACTTGCGTCTCAAATGGAGCTGATTGATCTTCAGTGCAATTCTAAGTTCAGGGAGGAAAATGGAAAAACAGAGTGGCGTGGACAATTTATGAGAGAATCACCCTTCACTGAGATTTCCAGGTTGTTCAAGCGGATCATATGATCTTTTTCGAAGTAACGATCTGTGTGAAAAGCTGTTTTCCACTATGAATGTTAACAAGTCAAAGTCAAGGGCCAAACTTACTGATGAGCATCTTTGCTCAAGCCAAAGATGCTCAGCTGTGTAAAAAAA